AATCAAATTATTCATTATGAAATTAGCAGTCTTCTCACATTCGACTTTACAAGATTTAACTGAAATCATCAAAGTAACTTTAAGGCAGAAGCATTAGAACGCAAGCATAGTAAGGATTCTACAATGGTACAAGAAGCTGTAGGATCATCGAATGAACTGTCGCAAATTTAAAAATTAGTCAAGATCAAATTAATACTACCTGAAAAATGTGGAGTCAGCTTCAGTTGCAACAGCCTTGGCCAAATATGATTTCCCAGTTCCAGGCGGGCCATACAACAAGAATGCCCTCCAGGGTCGTCTTTTACCTGGGGAAAAAAAAATACCAGGAAAAAAAATATTAAACACTTGGAGGCATGAATCATTTCGTGCTTCTATAATGTGAACTCTGAAAACAGCCATCCATGCTCTTAGTGGGTGTTTAGTTTTACATTGAAAACCGCCAAAATCAGCATGAAACCAAACACCGGCTTAGACTGGGATGCGGAAAAAGTTTCGATAAGATAACGTTTTGTCCCTTGTTTTTAAATTTGAGGTCACACATGAGTAGGGGCAGCCAAAAATACGTCTTTAATTAACAGATTTGTTTAGTCGACCATAGAAAGACCTACTTGCATAGATGTAGCGCAGATTAAAATTGTTAGTGGCGTCTTAAAAAAAATTGTAACTAGCGAGTCTAAATACCACCCGGCAAACTGGTTGGATAATGAACAGTGAGGAACACTAAACGCATTTGGTTGATCAATAACATTACTAGCAGAACCGGAGGATAGACTTCATTAACCTAAATCCTAAACGCATTAACCAATTAGAAAAACGATTATCAAATGCAGAGTATGGGTTCTCTAACGGGCAGCTAATACGGAGGTGGGCATAGGGGGTTGGCATTTCATTGCAACTGGCATCATCAATGATCGAATACAATCAGCAACCACGAAAACTAACCGGTGAAAAATTGCGGGAACTTCACAGGTAAAATAACCGCCTCCTGCAAAGCTTGCTTGGCGCTCTCCAGTCCAGCAACATCGTTCCACTTCACATTGGGTTTCTCTCGAATGATCGCTGAATTCAGTCCAGCCCTGAGCTTTGACTGCTCTGGATCCTCCCCATCCCCTTCCCCATCTTTCGGTTTGGTCTTAGGCCGCGTAGCTACTGCAGCATCCCCATTGGAGGCCTGGCCAGTCCCTCCATCATCAAGAACCGCTCGAATCTCCTCAGCCCGCCGAAGATACTCGGTGAATTTCTGCGTAATCGCTTCTTTGATCTTGGGATTTTTCTCGTACTTCAAATGGGTCTTGAAGTACTCCAAAGCATTCATATACAAAGGAAACGCTTTTGCATAATTACCAGCGTTATCTTCCTGCACAGCTTGTTTCACGTACTCTATTGCTTGCTCCTTAAAGTTGCTATACATCTTCTGCTTGCGACAAAAAGCATAGACGAATTAAAACCAAAAGTATCAAAAATTACCCGGCCAACTACAACCCTAGGGTGGCGATCAAATCATCTCAGAGAATAGATAAAGAGAAGCTCTGATCGATCTCCGAAACACGAAAAAATTAATGGTTCTATTGAGATTGCTGAGAAAGATCGGAGGGGCAAAGGGAGAATAGCAAGGATGATGGAGAAGTTTCGTGGGTCAAAAGGACGCGTTTCGATGGAGGGTGGCTAAGTCAGGGCAATACCGCAAGATTGTGTGTGGGAACCTCGCGAATACCAATTACCGAGTGAGGAGAGCTTTTCTAATTCCTTCTGCTGTTTGCGTAACTAGATTCTGCCACGAACCATTTATTACTTATTTATGATGCGATAATGTTCATAAATTGATATATAATCAATTAACAAAGATATGCATATTTGATGTAATTTGTAGGTAATTTTTACTGATTTAAATTTATTTGTAATTTTAGTAACAGAGGGGTGTTTTGTTAATAACAAATAAGTGACATATTCAAATGCATGCTAACTGTTTCATTGATTAACAATACAGCGCATTAATAGATAGATTTTAAGATAATAAAAAATATAAAGCATGCTGGAGTTATTGCATAAATATTATTATACCAATTAAGTTTTATTGGCAACATTTAAAGTTGGATCTTTTAATTAGTTTTTCGTTCGTGCCAAAAATTAAGAATTTTAAAAATATTCACGATAAATGATAAATTGACCGATTAATTTATGATATCTAGACATTGATATTAGACCTATTTGATTATATATTAATTTGATAAAAAGATTCCAGCCAGAAAAAAATTGAATAAAAAATTTAGTAATCGAGAAAGCTTGCTACAATCATAAAGTTATAATTTGCTTTTTATATCATATTCATGGATCTGAGCGGTGATAAATTGATCTGCAATCACCATGTATACTTAAATCAATGGAACCCAGACATTACTTGTTTATACCCTCTCGCATTCCTTTTTAAATCCTTCACATATTTATTGCGTTTATTTCTGGTGAAAAATCTGAGATATGTGACTGTTCTAATTGAAATGTATTTTCTTGACACGTTTGGAATAGCCGCGAGGCTCAAAAAGGGAAGAATTATAATCGCATCTAAAAAAAAAGAGTCTAATTATCATAGAGTTTATTAATAATTTAAGAATATGTAATGATAGGTTTCAAAATGAGAAACAACAATAAATTCAAACCGGTCACTTGTTATTAATTTTTTTTAATAATTAAACTTCTTCTTTGAGAAGAATAACAAATCTAAAAAATTCCTACACATACATAAATTTTAACAGGCTAGAAACTTTTTTCCGTGCGCACAGGGTAATGCCGTGATACTGTTATATAATTTTGATTTAGTCTCCTAAAATTTGAAAAGCCGACACGAACTACTGTAAAATATTACTCCTCCGGTCCTAATTATAAGACCCAATTGACTTATTTGAGGAGATTAAGGAAGTAAGTTAAGTTGGTTATTTATAATAAATAAGTGTTGTCATTCCTAAAATATCCTTACTAATTAAGTATATTGGCTAAAACTATCATTATTAGAAGGATTATCTTGGAAAAAAATGTATAAATATAAGAGACAAAATGGATTGGGTCTTATAATTAGGACCAAATAAAAAGTCAAATTGGGTCTTATAATAAGGACCGGAGGAGTACAAAAATAAAGTTATGCTACTATCGTAGTTGGTCATAGAAAGTAAGATATTATTATGCGTTTAATTTTTAGTCTTTTTTTTTTCTTGTAATAATTGTCAATGGTCTTGAAAGTATCTATTGGTTGTTAAATCTGACCCGACTCCTTGTTGAATGAATTGAGTATTATAAGATTTTAAGTAGAAAATTGATTAATGATTATTTCACTGCAAACAAAAGAATTTGACAAACTCACCACCCCCCCCCCCCCGGTGCTCGTAAATTGTTTTGGCGTAGGTTGATGTTTTCTTCTTTCTCTTCTATTTTTTTTAATTCTCATTTATGAATAATACACCCTGTTATGTATTTTTTTAATATATGATCACATTGTTAATTATTTTACATGTCATGTAAAATTTATTTTAGAGTTAATTGAACAAGCTAATCCAACATTCTTCTTAATTGTTAATTGTTTTATGAGCACATTCTTCTTTCTCTTCTATTGTTAATTGAACAAGCCAATCAACATGGTTTAAGATGAATTTTACAGTTAATATTATTTTTAATTCATAAAAACTTCTCTCGTTTTAATTTTACTCATAAAATTTAAAATTAATGGTTTTAACCTCATTTTAGTTTTGTCCCTAAAATTTAAGCCAATGGTTTGGGTTTCTGGTATTTGAGTTTATTTTAGTTCATCTCAAAATTTTTTATCCTAAAACAAAAACAAAAACAAAAACAAAACTGAGGTTAAAATTCAGGGACCAAAATAGCTTATTTTAAATTTTAGGGACTAAAATAAAAAATGTAGTGATTAGTGAATTCTCCGATCTAATTAAAAACATGAGACAATACGCAGCATTACTAACAAGCCGTTGAATTTTGAGAACGGGAGACTAAAATAATCCCTTTCAAGCGAAAAGAGAAAAAAGAGAGAGAGAGAGAAGACATACAAGAGGATATTAAAACCAGTTTTCAGAAGATGTTCAAAGCTACTCAAGGTTAAGATTTTTTTCCCCCGAAAAAGTTTAAAAAGAGTTTTTAAATCAAATTTTTTCATATAATTTAAAATATTCTTAAGTCATTTTAGACTTGAAACTAATCTGGCCTTCTCAACAAATGCACTCTATGAGTTCCAAATTCATATTTTTTTAAAATACAAAATAAGACTGCTTATCATATCAATTAACAGTTTGTTGGTAAATAAAATTTTTTATTTAGTACAATTAAACACACGCATGATTGGCTTAAACTCAATACCTTATCTAACTATAACAGATGAAGATGGCTAGTTAACAAAAAGAGGTTAGGATCATAAAAACGGGTAAAAGAAAAATTTTAACTAATCATGTGAAAGAATAAACAGCATCATTCATAACTTTAGTTTTTTTTTTTCCCTGCAAAGCCAACGCATCATCTATAACTAGCACAATGCTTTGAACTTTGAAGGAGATGGGACCAGATCAATAAACAACATTCAGTTGCAGGATTTATGTTCGCGATGTTGGCACGAAAAATAATTCAATCCTCTTTCTCCCCCCCCCCCCCAAAAAAAAGCATTTTTTTCAGTTATTTTGATTTATCTCATAGGTTTTTTTGGTTTTTTCCGTGTTTCTTATTTAAGGCTCTCTCTTTAACAGTATTTTATGATTTTATATTTAAGAGAAAACGCGGCACTTCCGCAGCCCATTGGAAAGGAACGCGTTCTTTTTTCTTTTTTTCGTACGCCGTCAAAATCCTTTGAAGACTAAACTTCCAGAGCGTTTGCCATTAAATTAAATAAAAGCAAAAATAAAATAAAGTGGGGTTAGACAAGGATTGTTATTATTATTTTCTTGAGTGGAGAAACTGATTGGAATTTTCTTAAAGGCGCAGGAATCAAAGCAGGCCGCTCCCTATTATATTTGTGTGGAGGTGCTTTTCTTCTGGGGAGCCTTCTTTCTCATTTCTAATATCGGAGATTCTCCTTCTGTTTTCCTTCCAAGCCTCAATTCCCTTCTAATTCCTTTCTCAGTTTCGATCTTCGATTTTCCATCTGTCCTAACACCCCAGACGGAAAATCTTAGATTCCTCCTTCCCTTTTAATACCCCTTCCGCCCTTCTCTCTCTACACCGGCGCTTTTCCAGATTCAATTCCTTCCGCTAGGTATTCCTTCTCTCTCTTTCTTTTTTTTTTTTTAATTTCTTTGGCTTCCTCACATCGTCACAGATTCATTGTCCTTGGCTCTTTCCTCCCTCATAATCTTCTTTCACATGGCAACGAGATAAAAGTTTTGATTCTTTTGAACCCTTATTTGTTTTCATGTAGATCTTTCCCATTCAAACTTTATTTATTGTCTTTTTACATAGTTCCTCCTTACAGGTTAGGAGATCTTCCATATTGTTTCGAACAAAGACGACGGTCCGAGAAAATGGCCGAAGAACATCGATGCCAAGCTCCACGCCTTTGCGTTAACAACTGCGGCTTCTTTGGTAGCCCGGCGACACAAAACCTATGTTCCAAGTGCTACCGAGATTTGCAGCTCACGGAACAACAATCCTCCTCTGCTAAGTTGGTTCTCAACCAATCCCTTGCTCCTCCGTCTTCGACGACCTCGCAGTCGTCGTCTTCGCCGGTACAGATCGACGGAACTTCGTCCTCGGCTGCATTCGATCCCCCACGCTCAGCGGACGTGGTCAAGATTGGATCTTCGGTGGCGCAGTCACCGGCTCAGCCGAGCCGGTGCTTGACTTGTAGGCGGCGCGTGGGCCTCACAGGATTCAAGTGCAGGTGCGGATCAACATTTTGCGGCTCCCACCGGTACCCAGAACAGCACGGATGTGAGTTCGACTTCAAGGGTATGGGCAGGGAGCAGATCGCGAAGGCAAATCCGGTGGTCAAGGGCGAAAAGCTCGAGAAGATCTGAAAAGTGTTACGGTCACGTCGAGTGCGAAAGCAAGTTATTCGGATCCTATGCCCGGGTCGGTTCCGATCAATTTGGTCGGTTTGGGTGTTACGGGTTGGGGGTCGGTGGGTGGTGGGTTGGTTCGTGAATTGTGATCCTTATCATCATCATGTAAATGAATTTAGTAACCTTTCCAATTGTCGGTCATTATCAGTGTGTCTGGAAATTACTTTCATTCTCATTAGAATATTGTGGCCACGTGGAGTTAAAATGAAAACAACGTAATTTTTAGTTGGGCGATGATTCTCGCCAGAAATATATGCGATGGAATATTGTAGGAGAAACGCTGAAATTGAGGACTAGGCTGTTGTTTGATTTTTGTCCTTTAATAGATGGTAGGGATAGGACTTCGTTTTTATACGGCATTATGCCCCAATAGACAGCCTAATACTAATAATTTGACTGAGATGATGGCTTTTATTTTTTTAAAATTTATTATTAATTGTATTTTGACTGAAAATTGAAACACTTAAAATTGAAATATTGAGCGTGAAAACAAAATGATGAAGTAAGAAGTTAGTTTATGCGAATTGGGTTTTGGGAAAATATTGATGCTTGCGAAATTGTGAAGCCACTTGGGCGAATGAAAAATGATTGAAATGAAAGGCTTGTAAAAGAAATGTGGGCGCAAGATAAAAGTTTCCAATATCCCCAGGGAATGCGATCCAAATTAAGAAAAGGTAAGCTCGCTTAGGAATGACGAAGGTGATCAGTTTACGAAAAGGGAATGCTTAAGGAAAGATCATCAGGTTGGCCCCAAAAAAAGGAAAGATCGTCAGGACAATATTTTTGAATTAATAAAATTAAAAAAGGGACAAGTTATCGGTAAAATTGGTGAGTTTAATTTTCTGATAAAACATTTGCCTGTTAAACTTCTACTTAGCCCAGTTTGACAAAAATTCGTTGGTGAAAAATTTATTTATGTTTGAATATATTTTTTCCGAAGTTTAGTTGGATAAATTAAAAATTATTTGAATGATTTATAATAAAAGTAATTTTAAACATGTAATTACTTAAAAAATATATGTTTTATAATACGCCCTATATATATACTACCTCCGGTCCTTATTATAAGACCCTATTTAACTTTTTGTTTGATCCTAATTATAAGACCCCAATCCATTTTGTCTCCTATATTTATGCATTTTTTCAATATAATCCTTCTAATAATGATAGTTCTAGCCAATATACTTAATTAGCAAGGATATTTTAGGAATGACAACACTTATTTATTACAAATAACTAACTTAACTTACTTCTTAATCTCCTCAAATAAGTCAAATAGGTCTTATAATTAGGACCAGAGGTAGTATTTAAAAGCCTTTTTTTTTTTTTTTTCCCACCAATATATCCGAGGGTTCGTTTGTTTCATTCGAAACGGGCTTAGGGAATGAAAGTGATTCCATTTCCAATGATTTGGAGGGGTGTTTGGAAAACATTAAAAGTGTTTATAAAAAATATTTTTTTGTAAATCGAGATAAACTCCTCCACATATTTATTTTATATATTATTAAAATATTTTTAAAATTATAGTTTTAATTTCATCCAAACATTTTTTTTAGTTGGCACGCGCGTGAATATGGCTACAAGAAAATGATTTTCATGCAAAATGGTGGAAATTGATTTTCTGAGCTGGAGCTAGGAAGTTTTTTGGAAAATTATTTCTTGATCACCAAAACACCGTTTTTATGTTTGATTTTTTTTTGAACCCGCCCCGATGTCCTGCCTCTCGTCCTCTTCTTCCTCGGGCACCGCTATCTCAACTCCGGCGACGTCACCTCCCACTGTCGAATGCCAAAGTCGATCTCCTCATCGTCTGCAACCTTGATCCAAGAGAACACAAAAGCAAGCATCGAAGGTGGGTCATTGATTCTCGAAGCTGGGTCATCGAAGCCACCTCATTGATCTCGTTCGTGGTTGTCGAAGATGGTCATCAAAGACATGGTTTCATGAAGAAGATTTCTAGATTTGCAAAATCTGATTCCAGCCTGTTGATTACTGTTGATTCGTAGATTTGAAAAATCGGGGAGGTTATTTTCATCAAAATATTTTCTGTGAACAAAACGGTCCTAAGTTCTTGAATTGTCTGACTTATGTCATCCTGATTGGATACGAGTCATTAAAGGACGGAGGCGTGGGAAGAGCAAAAGGTTGAAATAAATAAAAAGGTGCAATGCAAGGGCATGATTATAAACTAGATGGTGTTATGGGGTTTCAGGGGCTTCTGAGTTCTATCCAGTCCCCGAAACTTTACTGCTCCATATAGCAACTATTAAAGTCATTCTCTAAAACTAAAAGAGGGTCAACCATCATTATTGTTCTAAAGAAATAGGATTCCGAAGACTTTCATGTGTTCTGTTTTCTTCAAGCCCCAGTTATTATTTGCACATGGACCCCCACTCCTCACATCCACCTGTCCGCATCATCCCTCCCCTGCAAAACCGCATTCTAATGGCCACAGTACAAGTCACAAAGTTTGCCTTTTTAATGGCATCTATCTCCAGTGTACACTTCTCAAACTCAATCCCGATCTCTTGTTTGCTTTTGCGTCAGCCTTGCCATTCTGGCCTTTCAAGCTTCATATCCTCTTGGCTTGCCTTTTGTGCTGGTTCATCTTCTTCATTCTACCCTCAGTTTCTTTGCCCCAAGGATTTGCTTTTCTCGTTCAGTCTTCTTCTTCTTTTCCTTCCTGTCAACTTCCATATGGACTGAGAAACTCTTTTTAACTCTGTTGCCTATGCATGTCCCACCATCTCCCCCACATATTCGTCTGAAACATCAACTCTTTGTTCTTCTTCATTTCATTCTTGCATCGAATTTCGGACTTACACCGCAACACCGCAACACCGCCACACCGCCAACCAATTGTCTCATTAAACACGTCTCACCAATGAAATGCTCGGTTCGTCCGCTCTTTTGCATTCTGCCCATCATCGTCTTCCTAGCCATTCTCAGATGCCAAACCATCTTCTCTAAAGGCTTAGTTTCAATGGAGCTCATAAACAGCGTATTGGTTCTAAGTGCAGGTTCATTATCCAACGAGACACTGATAAAATACGCTGCCATCGACATCGGAGAAAAACAATTAAACCAAGAAATCCAGAAGATTCTTGATGTTGACTTTGGCAGTCAACCAAAACAGCCCCCGTTTTTTCCATGGAGATTCAATGCCCATGACGTTCGCTATGGACAGTGGTTGGAGTTCCGAAGGGTTCTGTCCGATTGGGCCCAAAATAAGAGATTTGAACCAAATATTATGTCCGAGTTGACACGTCTCATAAAGCATCCAATCGGCAGGCGTAATGGTCCAGTGGGCTCCGACCGCCGGTACCAGTCATGTGCGGTGGTCGGAAATAGTGGGATTCTGCTGAACAGTGAGTATGGCGAGCTGATTGATAACCACGAAGTGGTTATTCGATTGAACAATGCGAGGGTCGGAAGGTTTGACAAAAACGTAGGGACAAAAACTAACATTTCGTTTGTAAATAGCAACATCTTGCATTCATGTATGAGAAACAGAGAATGCTTTTGTCACCCATATGGATCACACATTCCAATGGTTATGTACATATGCCAGCCAGCACATTTACTGGACTACATTCTGTGCAATTCGTCTCACGAGGCGCCACTTGTGATCACCGATCCAAGGTTCGATGTGCTCTGTGCTCGAATAGTGAAGTACTATTCATTGAAACGTTTCGTTACGGAAACAGGGAGGGGTTAGAGGAATGGAGCTCTGCTCATGGTGGTGTTTTCTTTCACTACTCTTCCGGGATGCAAGCTCTGATGATGGCTTTGGGGATATGTGCGAGAGTGAGCATGTTTGGTTTTGGCAAGTCAGCTTCAGCTAAACATCATTATCACACCAACCAGAGGCCGAGCTCGATTTGCATGATTATGAAGCAGAATACGCATTTTACAGAGACCTCGTCCTTGGACGGAGGCCTATACCATTTCTTCCGGACACTTTCAAGATTCCTCCCCTAACCATATATCAGTGACATTTTATTTTTACTATCATTGCCGATTTGAGTGGTAGAAACGTAAAAATACTGCCTTTTCTCATACGATGTAACCAAAATTTCGTCCAATACCGAAAACAATACGGATTTAAGATCTTAGACGTCTGGATACTATTCGTGTATTGATAAAAGCAGATTCGAGAACTGCTATTACAGATTCTTGACACACATCGTGACTCTTCCATGACTAAACATGCTATACAAGATCTGCATTCCATGCTCGTTTTCCGTTCTTCAACTAAAGGAGCTCCCTAATTGAATACAAAAAAGCACCTGGAAGCCATACTTCAGCTAGACGACAATAACGTCGCCTAGGATTATCAAATGGAAACTCTCGCTGAGATACAAGAGCAGCACAAAACATTTTTACTTACACCACAAGTTAGTGTCCGTTGACCTACATATACGTCAAAACCTGGAAACCATGATATTCCACTGCTATACCACGTCTTATTTTACCATATATTATATACACACATATCAAAATAGCACCATCTCGATCTCGTCACTGCGAACCTTCCATCAGGGAAAAAGTTCTTGGGTCACTTTCTGTTCCTCTCTCACTCTGCCGTGTCCATCACCATGCCTTTCTCCTCATATTTCACTTCCACCAAGTAGCTTATGCGCACCTGCCAAGAAGAAGAGCCATCTTAGATACTCCCCTTTTTAAAATTTCCACTGAAATTTCACCAATCAAGTGATTTTCATTAGTTTTTTGAGTTAGAGACTGTGTGACTTATTGTTGCGTGGTTCGTACCTGCTTGGGATCGTAGACAGCGTACTCGTTGTATTCCAAAGGGCTATCTTTGTGCTCTGAGGCAACTAACCGACCTGAGGGAACTTTAATGTCATCTTTCCAAACAAAATGCTCTGATTCATCTGTTTTTTTCCTCCCCAACCCCTTCACTCCATTTTTCTTTTCTTCCAAGGATTTTGTGTCCTATCTCAATAGATACAATAACTCAGTAAACGAAATTATTATAGAATCTAGGAAAGCTGTGAACAATGTTATTACCTCGGGTGGGTTTTTCAGCTCTGTAATCTCATTTCCTAGGGAAGCAATGGCCAGAACCAGGAAGCCTTCTGGCCTGTCCACAGCAGTAAAACCATATCTTGCGGCCTCGGCTGCGGCATCAGAACAAACAATGGCTCCCCCAAACTGTCATAGAAAAAAGAAAAGGGGAAAAGCATTGAGAAGATGCCAATGTTGGACAATATATTGAAGTTGAATGAGCTTATATATGAGTACCATATAGCCCGGA